GTCTCCCAGCACTGCCTACAATACAGTTACTCGGGGTCTGGCACTATGACGAGCAACGGTGGCCTTCTTGTAGTTGTGTGGTACATCCATTTGTCGATCTGATTGCCGAGGAACAGGCAATATGCACCGACAGTGACGATTTTATTCTCTGTATAGAGCCGCCCAAAAGCCACAGTGTGGGAATCCTTTGCTATGATGATCATCCACTTGCGCCCACGTAACTCTTCATGGTAGAACTCGGGCGGCTTCTCATCTGCATTCATACAAAATTGACGATTGTGAGTTTCGGCTCGAGGTCCAAGACCACCCATATTTCATCTAGGGCCGGGGTGCGTTTTCACAGTCGTGAATGACATCTCATGCTGAGAACATTACTGCTAGAGGCATAGAATCGGTACTGCGTTCGTGCTTCTACAAGAAAATTAGGTACCCATGCGCACACCCTCTTGACCATCCTCAGTTTATCGGACATAACTCGGGCAGCAGTTGCAGCTGGGATGTCAGACTCGCGGGGAAGCTCAAAGGTCCAGGCTCTGTGATCAGACATTCAGCGCTTGACTTCATCCACCCTTTTTTCTTGTGCAGGATGAACATTATGGGACCATCCACGACAACAAATTTTTTCCTTTCTTCCTTCTTCGGGCTCCTGAACCAAACCTTCCACCTTGTATTTCGAGAACACCATTACACACAACTACTGGTCCGGCCAAATTTGAGCAGCGCACTTTCCTCTTATGACGCCTGATTTGAAAATCCGGCGCTGATTTTCACCACTCGTTTCTTTTCAATTTCTCGAGAACTTCTTCTGTGGGTAGGTTCGCCAAATTTCACAGATACATAGCTTAAGGGATTAGCTTCCATTTTTCTGCGGAACCCCAAACTTTCGGCGAGTGCCCCGCCCACTGTGGGCGGGGCTTCCCATAGGTCAAGTGTGCTTTTTATTTCTTGTCCCATGCCCTACCCATCCCCACCTTGACTGGACCTCTCCAAGTCGTTCTTCAGGTCGAACCGAATTTCCGGACAGACAAACTTACAAACTTACAAACAAACAAACAAACAACAAACAAAGCGAATTATATATATACTAAAAGAATAGATATATTATCGTATAGCATATACTCCATACCGGAGATTCCGGGAGAGTGAGCCGAACAGAGATGAAGAGAGGCAGAAGCAGAGACACGAGGGGCATTGATAGAGGTAGCGGTAGAGAGCGGAGGTTTACTGGGGATATGTTCCCCTTGAGAGAACGTATAGCATACGACCTCAGAACACTATAGAATGACTGATACTCCTCTACAGGGTACTGCTGAACTACTCCTACCCCAAGAACTCAAGAAATTTTTTTGTTGAAATTTCGTCTGTAGGGGTAACGCGATGCCCTGATCACGGATACGACATTAGTTCTAGGCGCTGGCACCGGTAAGCGCCAATTTGGCGCCACCGTCTTTCTCACCAAAATCGATGGAAACTTGCACAATAGGATTGTTAGATGCCGTGATAGCGATTGTTTTTACAGTATTTTTTTGTACAGATGTCATTTATTTTTCAATACCAGCGCCACTCAGCGCTCTGCCAAGGCTGAACGAAGGGGTGACTCCCTTCAGGCCAGGCTCAGCCTTAACAGAGACTACAGTAGTGTCCTCCATTAGCGCCGGCGAGAACAATGAATGTCATACTCTCATTAGGATGTCAAATAACCTCCGTATATAAGTTCTAATCGATCTCAGTGATCGGAGGTATTTTGGCGCGGGCGTTAGGCGGTTTGGGGCCAACTGGAGGTGGTAGTCATGTTCAGCAGATCAAATTACCCCTACGGGCAAGTTTTCAGCGAATTCAGTGATTCAGGCTGTTTTGGCGCCACCGGCTGTGTCGGGGGCGCCACCCTTTTTCGCATTTGGGAAGTCGAACTACCTCTGCAAGCTAATTTTCAGACAAATCTGCCCTCGTAGAAGAGTCGGTAAAAAACTGGCCTGATTTTGGAAGACTGGGGTATGGTACTTCAATAGTGCCCTCTATGGCTGCGGCTATCCAGCCTGGGCAACTCACTGTAAGACTCAGCCGTGAAAGCTCTTTGCTAAATAATCAAAATGAGAACAGAAACCCTCATCCCCTCCGCCTCCTCATCCAAAACTCCAAACTCTTCGAAACGATCAACATCCTCAGGGTGGCACTGTAAGTACGTCGAGAACCTACACACAGGAGAATCTACAAATGCACCCCCACCCCCTTGCGTTCTTCGCAACGATGACGGGCCCTGTTTGAGAAGGTCAAAGTCCGTCTTGAAACACAGAGAAGCGCACTTGATCCCCCCTCGCTCCTCTACTATGAGTAGCTCCATGGACTTGCCTACAAGTTTTGTCAGCAAGCAATTTGTGAATGGTGCTAGATACTCCGTATTTTTGCCGTTTCACAGAAACGAACTGCTATCCCAAATCAGTTTGCATAGCATAAGAACCAAGATTGAACCACCATTCGAGTGAGTACTCATGAATATTAGACCATTTCCATATTACATCGTGTGCGGGCAGGGCACATCGTTGCTGGAGATCCCCAATAGGGGGGAGAGTCGTATTTGGCCGCCAGGAGAGGGGGTCGTATTTGGGCTGGGAAAAATTTATTTTGATAGTTGATTTTTCTCGCTTCACGGACGTTGTAAAGGGGGGGGGGGTCGTACTTGGTCATTGTTGGAAGGGGCGGGGTCTTATTGCGGGGGGGCAGCAGAGGGCCGGAGGGGTGGTCGTACCCTAACCCTTAAAAAAGGGAAATGAGAATGCTAGAAAATGCTCTGTTAGGCCGCGTTCATACTTAGCAACGCATGAGATTTCCAGATCTCGTGAAGAGACCGACCACGCTTCTCGCCATTCAACGCATCGCTGATAAAAAGAGGATCATCCCTAGACGGGACTAGAGTTCACAGGGGGAGCAAAAAAGACACTTCTCAAGGCCATCTTTATTGAATTCTGATTGGGCATTGGCATTTCCTGCTGTTGGTCCATAGCCTGGGAGCAGATTCACTACACCTGGAGGGAACCCTGCCTGGAACAAGTCTTTTGTCTTGATTGTGATGTGAATTCACAGTATTTCTAAGGGTACCTCCTTGATCAGGCCGGCCACATGAAGAGCAGTGAGTGGGGTTTGTTCAGCTGGTTTCATAACTACAACGTTGCCCATTGACAGCGCTGGCCCAAGCTTCCATGCTTGCATGAGAAGAGGAAAGTTCCACTGAAAAGCAATTCTACCTTTACCTTCGTCGCTCATTTCGCTGCTGATTTATCTTTTTTTTGGGATGCACATACAAACTACCTCCATTCAGAATCGTAATGGCTTATTGAATGCTATGTGGCCTATAAAATGTATTGCCAGCCGATGTAAAGTCAGTGTTTCTATCCCTACAAACGAGCTGGTACTAATTAACTGGGTCCAGAGGGTGGGAAGGAGGCTTGGCTGGCCCGAGTGGGAGTCAATCCGGCAAAAGGATCGCTGGCACAACTCGTTCCTAGATGGGTGAGACAGCACTTGCGGGAGGCGTTGCTGCAGCCAATGACGACCGTGCGCCTTCCTCACTGTCGCGAATGTGGGACAAATTCTGAGATTGCGGGCCGGACTTTAACGTCAGATCCTTCAGCTCCTTGTGCAGGAATGACTCGGTCTGTAATCTCAGACCTCTGAGATAGTGGCTGAAACCTTCCTGTACAACGATGAAATTCTACCCTCAGGATATTAGCAGAATGTGTCTTTAACATTAACCTTCACTCTTTAACTTTCTGCATCTGTGAATTGTAGCAAGACTGAACTGCATACAATGAAACAGAGCAGTCGGAAATATTTTACAAATGATCGTACCGGAATTATTTGGCCGCAGACTCCCACCGGTTCGTGTCGCGTGTATGTGAAGTAATCGCCTCTAATCGGTATAGTTTTGCCGTGATATTTGTCGGCCCATCCTGCGTAGTACCTTAACGAGATATTTTTGAGATGCTTCTTCATTAGCTGAACTACTCGCATTGGTACTGACCTATTGAGTGAAGGCAATACCTTCGGAACTTTGCACTACAGGGTGGCGAATAATTACGTGCGCGTGACATTTGACTTCGTTTTAATTATTGTATAAAGCATTTATGCATACTTTTTCTTTTTTATTTTATTCATTTGTTGCTTATTATTGGTTTATAGGGAGAAAAAATTGTTTTCCAGACTATGACGAAGGCCTGCCCAAGTCGTGATGCGATTGCACAGTTAGCAAAAAGTGGGATGAAGAACTCAGCAATTTCTTCGAGGCTCGGAATTCCTCTAAGAACCGTCCAGAAGATTGTAAAGCAATGGAAAGTGGAAGGACACGTTCAAATCAAACCCAGAAGTGGAAGAAAACGGACTGTCAACACCCGACAGATGCGTGGGATTATTAAGAAAAGGATTGACCGAAAAGATGATCTGAGTTTGAACAAGATGGCCAAACAGCTCAATATTTCTCGCAAATCTGTTCAAATGATTGTAAAAAATGAGCTAGGACTTCGAAGTTATCGTCTGTTTAATGGACAAGTTCTTACCGATCAAGCAAAGCAAAATCGGAAGGAAAAATGCAAGAAATTGCGAGAATTTTTCAAAGTGCGCCGAATTGTGCGCCGAATTGTGCGCTGTGCGCCGAAAAGTGCGCCGTCCTCTGGTCAGACGAAAAAGTTTTCACTGTTGAAGTGGCTAAAAACTCTCAGAATCATCGTCAACTCCTTAACCCAGCTCTCAAGAACGATCGCAAGCGAAAAATTGCCACAAGAAGTCTGTTCCCTGCAAGTTTAATGGTTTGGGGCGGCATCAGTGCCTCAGGCAAGACTCCTTTGATTTTTATCGATAAAAACGTGAAAATTAATGCACAAGTCTACCAAGAAGAGATTCTCAAGAAAGCTGTGGTGCCCTGGAAGCAAGAACATCCCAATATTATCTTCCAACAAGACTGGGCACCAGCCCATGGAGCCAAAACAACGATTCACTTCCTGGAGACCAAAATCGGCTCGTTTTTGACAAAGGATTTGTGGCCTGCGAACAGTCCGGATCTGAATCCATTGGACTTTTCTGTTTGGGGATTTATGGAAGAGCAACTTAGGAGTCGAAATGTAACAAATCTGGTGACTTTGCGAAGAGAATTGATCAAAATTTGGAACAATCTAGACGTTAACTACCTGCGCCGCACCATCGATTCCATGAAGAAACGAATTAACGCTTGTATCAATGCTGATGGCGGCCACTTAAAATTCTTTGTAATTATAGAATGTTATCGCCCATTGTTATATAAAAATAAATTTCTTTGTAAATTTTTGTTGGCAAAAAATAAAATTTGAACGCTTTTTATGGCGCACGTAATTATTCGCCACCCTGTATTAAAGACCAACTTTACGCTCGCCTCCGTGAGCTGTTCCTGCGAAGTGCGCGGCCAACGGGCTTGCACTAAAGCACTACTTTCTTCGTTATTTGTGTGTAATTCTTTTGTGCCTGCGAGGTTGTTAGGTGGAACTGTTTATTGACGGCCTAACGTTTCGACCAGATCGTCGTCCTCGGAGGCCTGAACATCGCCCAAGATTTTTAATTTGTTTTCTAAACCGTCAAACGCCTCCTGCTTGGGCGATGTTCAGGCCTCCGAGGACGACGATCTGGTCGAAACGTTAGGCCGTCAATAAACAGTTCCACCTAACAACCTCGCAGGCACAAAAGAATTACACACAATAACAACGATGCCGAGGTTCTATGAAGAGAGAAGCTGGAGACTACTTTTTTCGCTTTTAAGTGCACGGAAGCGGGTAAGGTAGTGGTACCCTAGTGCCGTCTCCATACTCCCACCGCGCGATCATCTGGGTCCAGCACTTGTATCGATAGCTAGGACCCGCGGCGAAAGACGTATGCAGTGGTAGAGAACGACCAGAAGTGAGACAGCGCAGACAAGTGGGGCGTCTGACTATGGCCAGAAGCCTAGCCGAGCAGCTCGCGGTGGAATATGGGGAGCGGCCACCAAGCATCGCTGCCCTCCGGTTGTATCTGTGCACTTTTGAAAGGGGAAAATGACTCGCATCTGCAGCTGCGGGCTCATTCTCGTGACAGTTGACAGGGAATGGGATCCACGGAGGTAGGTGTGCAGTTCGTCGTTGAAGAAAGGACCTGACAGGCGCGGTATTATCTCAACTGTATTGGTTCCGATTTGCCCCTGTTTATCTCAAAAATGCAAGGAACCTGTCTTACCTAATACAATTGATTGTCAAGGGTACATCAACGAAGAACGATTCCCAGTACGGTTTCCCGTTATCGAGTGTTTCGAGTGACTGCAATAATGATAAATGACGAAGGTTCAACAAAAATAAATGAGTGTTAGGAAATAATTCCGGACGAATCAATGTGCTACGGGAAAAACACTTACAGCGAGGAAAACTTTGTCGCGCTCCATCAAGTCAGCCAACTTGTGCATTAACATACCGCGATCTGCTGCATCCATTTTACGCCATGGTGAACCGAGAGGAAACGCATCTGTAGCCGGCTGAAACAATTGAAGCTGTTGTACAGTAAAGCAAATACACTGCACTGTCGAAGAGAGCCAATGCACTAGAAATCGAATAAAAAACCCTTTGCCAGCGAGATACGGACATTAATGGGACATGTCAAGAGCCAGGAACGCGTTCATACTTTGCGCCAGCGCTACGAGCAGAGATAGTTCACCGAGGGCTTTGAACTTTTGGCGGGCAGATGCTTTCACCTAGGGCTTTGAACTTTTGGCGGGCAGATGCTGAGGGTGGTATCTAAATGGAGCCGACGTAGCCTCTCTGAATAACTTCCCTGCACTCACCCGTTCGAGTGGCGAGCAGTACTACCAATGAACACAGGAAAAAGTGAACACTTAGTAAACTTGAAAATATGCACATTTCGTGAATTATGCGAGTACGAACATGAGATATGACAACGAGCGTAATGTGAGACCAACAATGTACCACGTAATATAAACCGAGTTATTGTAGAATTCAGTCCAGGCGTTCAAACCAATATTGAAAGGCGTTCGAAGCGAGGTGTGTTCGAACATAGTTTGGTCTTCATATGCATCCCACCGCCTGTTTGGTCCTAGGACCCACTGCATCTTTTCCAGCAGGTCTGTGTGCCGCAACTTCAGTTTCGTTTCGCCCCATAGAAAAACTCAGATTTTCAGACGATCGACTTAGCAAATTCAGCATCATGGAAAGCGCCGTATTAGTGAATGCCTTCATCTCCACCCCGCCTGTCATGAAAGTACCAGACTATTTGTGCAAGGAAGAACGCCTAACGCTTGCTTAAGCGCGTGGACTGTCTCTGAGGTGTAGGGAGCAGGAGTCTCAGCATCTTTTGTAACAATGCTGCTCACTACCGGAACCATTCTACCTCCTTTTTACGGGATAATTCTTGGAATTCTGTTTTTAGCGACGATTTTTCACGTTCGAGAAACCTCGTTTGGAAACTCCACGTAATGTGGGGACGTGTGTTTTGGAGGACAAATTTGTTTTGTCAGAGCAGTTTCGCATTCGCGAAAACTGCAAGACACCGCTCTTCTTTTAGCACTCCTGATGGTCCTCCATTCATCCTCGAACGTGTCTTCACCGGCCTTATCTGTACTACTGTTGTCCTATTCTATTCTGTATGTCCAATGTCGGCATTACCTGTACGAGAGAACGCGCGCCTAAGTCAGCGTTCGCACTTCGCGATAATGTTGGTCGATTCGCTGTCGCGTGACTATGCCCATGTCACCTGCGAGAGGCGCTACAATTGCTGTGGATGCGAATGTCGCTGCAGGCAGCCAATG